GCCTTACATCCCCATAGAATCCCGTAGAATTCAACTTTCCATACAGATTATCCATCCACCACTGAAGCTCAATCTTGAACCCTTTACCAAGCAGCAGCAAACATTAAAGTAGGCATTCTAAGACAATTGTCTATGAGTTTGATAGATGTTATTTTTAAAATTAGTTCTTGTTTTAAAAATTATTAAGATATTTTTTATTTTTTAGAAATTATTTTAATATTAATATATTAAAATGATTAATAAACATAAAAAACAATAATTTTTTTTTTAAAAAAAAAACACAGTTGGATAGGATGTAGCCAAATTAAACCAGAACCTCAACTGTAGCGGGATGTTGACACGTAGACACAACATCCCGTGTTGGGTCCATCAGGAGCATTAATTGAAACGTGCTACTTACTATACGAGTTCCTGTGAATCAGCTTGGTAGCCCCATCAAAAGTCTCAAAAATCCTCTTCAAGTGGGTCCCAAGGTAACCCTGTCCCTCCAATAACCGAACATGGCTTGATAACTAGTTGTGAGCACCGAGGAGGAGGTTTCGTGTGATCTCTACCAGGCAAAAATAAAATTAAGAGGTTGGTGGCGCTGCTAGAAACTTATCTCCACGATTCAATTTCCATTTTCCCGACGACAATTTGCGACTTACGGGCATTTGAACAATGTTTTTCATAAGAGCTGTAACTTTTTATTTGGTGATGGTATCGGGCTAAGATTTTATGAATGCATTTTACATTCCATGTTCTTCGTGGAATTGACTAATTAGCCTTAGGATCATGCTTCAATTAAGATTAAAAGATACTATTTTAGAATTTTATTTGATTTATATTTCATTAGCTAGATCAGCTCCAACTTCTTTTTTTAAATAGTTTTGTATATCATTTTTTTATATTATTATTATTCAAAATTTATCATATGAGAGTTTTTTTATTTTATTTAACTTCAACTCTAGAGAACAAAAGCCATAGCATAAATAAGTTAAAGGCTATAAATATTTAAAACTTGGAAATCCTAATTCGTATTTCAAGCACGGCGGAGATTCATTTGTTTTATCTTCAAAAGTTCCTTCGAGTGTCAGTGTTTCCATTTTCAAGACGGCTTTTAAAGGAAAATGCTGCTAGGTTTGCTATTATAAATAGATTAGATGAATGCATGCATGGAGGATATACCTTCTCCGCCCATTTAAACTTGCATGGAGGATCTTCAAAAAAAAAAAAAAAAATTGCTGTGGAGGATCAAGAGCACATGGCAATGAGTTGCGTTTTCGTAATTATCATGCAGACAGGTGCCTGGTATATTTAATTATTTGCCATTAATGGACTATTTAATTTAAGTATTCAATTCCCTGCTATGCTAATTTTTTTCTTTCAAAAGATAAACAAACGAGAGACTAGCTAGCTTTCACCGTGATGAAGTTTGGAAATCTTTATATTGTAATTAATTGTATTAAATTAGCTCTACATAAAACATACCACAGATAAATAGTTTCTAAAAAAGGAAGGGGGTTAATTTAGTGGTAAGAAATTCAAACTTTAAAATCACTACCAAACAAAATTTATTATTCTGCAATAAATATAAAAATAATATTAATTCTGATTGGTATCACTTAACTAATGAAATTTTAAATTTATTTTTAATATAAAAACAAGGTTAACTTTAAGAGGTATAACTTAACTAATTAAGTTTTAGACTTGTTTTTTAAAAATTATTAATTTAAATTTATATTAACTTTGGTTTTAATCTTTATAATTGTTATTTGGTTTTTTCTTATTATTTTTTTATTGAAATTTTTTATCTATCAAATTTGATCCTTATTCTTTTGATTGTTGCTTACTTTATTTGAAATAATTTATGAAATGTTAATATTATATTATTATTTGAAAAGCACCCTGTATATTTCTAAATTTTTAATTTTTTTATCTGAGATAGGCTGTATATTTCTAAATTTTTAATTTTTTTAAAGTTTGAAATTAAAATTTTTATTTTTTAATTTATTAATATCAAACTAAAATATATTATTTTAATATATTTTTAAATAATAAAAACTTTTAAAAAATTCTCGAACTATATTCACTTCCACCACGTTAGCATTGTGTTCAGTTAACCCCGTCAAAAATGGGGTTTGGATTGAACGCGCTGTTCTGGTTCCCGACTCCTGTTTTTCGGGGAGAAGTAAATAATCTATTGAAAGTTCGTTCAACTTGACAATGAAAGTTTTAGGACAAGTGAGTGTGATGTAACTGGTAGGGAGGGTGGAGAGAACAAGAGCCGTTATCTTTGATTTAGCTCCCCAGCAAACAGATTCATCTCTAACTCCCCCTCCTGCACACTTGTGCCTGCAAACCCATTAATTGTGGAAGTGATAGCATAATCATTACCATGATGTTTTCCCAACTGCTACAACTGAACTTCACTCCAGTTGGGTGCCGGTCACCCCCACTTGTTTACCGTTGTTCGAGTAATTAATTATAACTTGTTTTACCGGCTGTTATTTGTATTAAAATATATTTTTAAAAAATTATTTTAACTTGAAGTAAATAAAAAAAATTATTATTTTTTTAAATATTTCTAAAATATAAAAAATTTATTAACTTGAAGTAAATAAAAAAAAATTATTTTTTTTAAATATTTCTAAAATATAAAAACAAACAACCTATTAATGTAGAATTAGTTGTCCATGAAAGTTAATATCAATATTATTAAACAAATTTATAGTGTAATTCGAAACTCAAAGAACTTAAGTCTTAAGGAAGATTTAATTTAATAACTTTGATTAATATGTTTTCATCTTGCAAGATTGGTACAGCATGTTCGGATGTCCAAAAGTACGAGCAACGATCGTTCTTCAATTTTGACACTGGTTGGGTCGGTAAATTTATCGTAAATGAATAAGTTTAGTATCGATAGCTTATTTAAAGCTTAATCAAGAAAAAAAATTTACTTCACTGGGAAAAAAAAAGGCTAGGAATTACTAGCAATTATTATTGGAATATTTAGCAGCGTTACCTTCATGTATGTTAATTATGTGTACATTATTATACAATTAATAAAAGGAAAATATATTTTCAGGTAAAGATATTATAATTGTAAAGTTTACTAATTGTTTTGTTCCAGCGGTGACAAAATTATAATATTTATTTATTTTTATTTGTACTGTACGTGTACTTTAAAAAATGATATTTTCCTTGGATGATATGATTATAAATTTTGCCTGTTTTTTAATAGTAATATTGTAGCAGTGATAAAATTATAATTTTGTTTATTTAACAATAAGTTTTTTTTATACTTGGTATTTTAATTATTTTACACTAGGGTTACTTATCACTATTTTTTTCCTGTCTTGATTTTTCTTTCCTTATTTTTCTTTACACTTTCATTTAAAAAAATATATTATTTTTTTATTTTTATCTTTTTATTTTTGTAATTTATTTTTTTTTCATCTTTTTTTTTTAATAAAATCATTACATAACAGCTGACGAAATGATGTTTCATTCGTATCAATTGCTTGCTCCATTTTACTAGTACAGTAAAAGTCAACTTGAGAATTTAAATATTTTTATCAACGTATCATGTGATTTTCATTGTATTCTGTTATATATAATTATCAATTTTTTTATTTGTAATTATATTTTTTTATTTAAAGTCAAAAAATATATTAATATACACGTTAATTTTCTTGAAACGAGTTGAATAAACAAGTTAATATTTTATTTTTTATATTTATCAATATAAATAGTTTTTGATATATATATATATATAATTAAATTCATACACATGCCTTTTGATTTATAACTAGATTAAAAACAGGAAACATATTCAAAAAATTTATATATTTATTTTTATTAAAAAAATTATTTTACTGACAGTCAAATAACCAGTTATAACATGTACATGGGACATGGTCTCGAAATGACAATTGTGAAAATTGCAAGCACTTTTAACATGTCTTCGTTCCCAATGCCAAGTTCTTCCCGCGATTCTCCATGCTCTAGGAGTTTTTCAGTTCCTTTCCTTTTTCTCTTTAGAAAGACTTCACTTGGGAGGCAGAGCATTGTTTTCTTCGTGGATAAAAAGGCAAGTGGAAGTGGGGAGCAAGATAGGCTTTTGCTTCGGGAAAGAATAGACCAGGCAAATATACAAGCAACACAAGGATTATTCTATGATTAATAACTTATCAGAATCACCAGGCCAAGTCTCTTATCTAATCTAAACCCTTGCGCATTGGCCAATGGTGACATTCTACAAGGGCTGCTAGCAATGCTTATTAAAATCAGTCTACTGGTGAAAACTAATATAATTAGAGGGCTTTTTTTCTAATTGTTTTGAAAATTAACCCATAACTTTCTAACTCGACAGGATCAGCTCCAAATTTTTTTTATCCGAAATAAAATCTTTCAAGTTTTCTTCTCTAATAATCTTATCCAAAATGATATTTTTTAATATTAGTTTTAGAATAAATTTGAATTAACCTACCAATTTATACACCAAACAATCAATCCAGCGATCTGAAGCTCCTCCTGGACATGACAACTATGCTACTGCGTTCCTAGCTGTGGCTTATCCCCCAAATTGCTTGACCCATTTGTTAGATAATCTGCAGTCCAATACTTAAATAATAGCATAGTATCAATCTTAATTTGAATTTAGAGCAGGGAGCCCCTGCACGTGTTTTAGCCTCCAAGTTATGACTGCATTGCATTAAAAATGTCACAAGGGAGTGGGAGTGAGAGATGGGTGGAGATTGGATAATGTCTGCAGAGCATGAAACCTTCATGATTTAAGGCATCACAATAAGCCACGTGTAAGTCATGGGTGGATAGCAGAGACTGCTCATTCTGCCCGTCCCTTTGAGCCCTTTTTGTCTTACTTCATCACAATCCCTTCATCATTGTTGTTTGGTTTGTATGTAGTATTTTGATTTTTTATTTTCCTTTTGTCTTTTATTTTATTTTCTTATTTTTCTTTTTTCTTTTGGTGAACTTTATTTTCTTTTTTAATATTGTTTTATTGTGTCTATAAATAGTGGCTGTTCTGTTACATTTAACATTGCAGTACTCACGCACAAAAATTTCACGCGCTTTTTAAGTTTCTGTAGTGATTGATCTAGAAGCTAAATTTTGCTAAAAAAAAGAATAGGATAATGGAGGGAAAGGTATTGAAACCATCAAGATTCAAGAGGGTTTGTGTGTTTTGTGGTAGCAGTACTGGGAAGAGAAAATGCTACAGAGATGCTGCTACTGAACTAGGTCAAGAGCTGGTAAATTATACTTCGTGTTTTCACTTTGTGTTTTCTCGGGCTTTTGTGTTCGGTACTTAAAAGGGTTTTTTGTGTTTTCCGTTGAAGGTGGCAAAAAGGTTAGATCTTGTGTATGGAGGTGGAAGCATTGGACTGATGGGCTTGGTTTCTCAAGCTGTTCATAGTGGTGGAGGCAATGTTCTTGGGTACAATATGTACTTACTCCTTTTGCTTTTTCTGGGTAGATTATTATTTTGATTGGTTTCGCATCTTCTTGCATGAGTAGCCTAATTTTAATACTGATTTTGTTTCCAGGATCATACCAAGAACTTTGATGAGCAAAGAGGTGCAAGATCTCATTTGTGATGGATTTTCTTTATGTTTTGTTCTAGTTGGTGGTATTTTTTCAGTTTTTGGGGGTCTAAAGTTTGAAACTTTTAGCTTCATTGTGTGCAAAGATTGTATCTTTATATATTTGTATGTGTGTGCAACTACAGATCACAGGAGAAACAGTTGGAGAGGTAAAGCCAGTAGCCGACATGCACCAAAGAAAGGCAGAAATGGCCCGCAATTCTGATTGTTTTATAGCGCTACCAGGTCCCATACATTTCTCGCTCTTATGGATAAATAGATCACGCGAACTCGTCTCTTTTTTAGTTCTCGTAGTAATCAATGATGTTTTTTGTGTTTATAATTTCTTCTTCATCCCTTTACTTTGGTTGCAGGTGGCTATGGCACTCTGGAGGAGTTATTAGAAGTGACTACTTGGGCTCAGTTAGGCATCCATGACAAACCTGTGAGTTTTCCTTGCATGCCCCTCAAAGAATCATGGCTCTCTATTTCAAGCTCTTGACTCTGTTTCCCAAAAAAAGCACAGGTGGGTTTGCTTAATGTTGATGGCTACTACAATTATCTTCTGACATTCATTGACAAAGCCGTGGATGATGGCTTTATCAAGCCTTCTCAACGCAACATCATTGTCTCTGCACCAAATGCCAAAGAACTTGTTCAAAAACTTGAGGTGGGTTACTGAGGTTTTGCATTCTTTTCAGAGGCCATATAATTTGGAGGAGTTCATTTATGGATAAGACAACCTGATGTTTGAAGAAATAATCCGTCGCTGTTTTCCATGTTGGTGTCCTCTTCGATTTCTTATGTATTGTTTATCTGTGAATGATGCGCTGTTTTGATTAGGAGTACGTGCCTGTGCTTGATGGAGTTATAGCCAAGGCAAGCTGGGAGATTGAGCAGCAACAACAGGTGGCGTTCAATGCTACAACTTTGCATACTGAAGTTGCTTTATAAAGGAGAGACAATATAAAGGAAGATACGAAGTTAGGGATAAAAAGGTGCTTTAGGCTTTCTTTCTTTGCTTTTTAGTCTTGATTTTGGTTCACATACCAACGATTCCATAATGTTCTGGTTCGGTATGAATGACTTGGGATTAGAGGAGTGAAAAAAGTGACAAGTGGGTCTTTTTTGTGCATGCTTTACTAGCACTTCATCAAAGGAAGAAGGCAGTCAAAATTTTACTTGGGTTATTAAGATTGTAGTAGTGATATTTTGTACCTTGAATTATGTTTATGTTCAAATGATTAATATCCATATAGAAACAAGAAGCAGCAAAAATTCAAAAAAAAAAAAAGCAGCTTTATTCTCTATGGACAATGCTCTCTATAGCCAACTACATATGCCTTATCTTGTGTGGTGTTTTGTGCAATTGACATCAACTTGGGGACCTTGAATGGTGGGGCTTGCGTTGGTGGGTGGACGTGTAGAGTGCTCTGTACCAGCTCGGTGTTTGCTGGGCTGGCTGGTCGGGTATGAATGATCAGGGAATACTACTACTGCTACAGTACAGTAGCTTGGACAGGGATTTTTTGAACTGTAGCTGGAGAGTCCAGAGGCTGTTTGTTTTGTGCTACTGTAAAAGAGAGAGAGAG